GTGTGTGTGTGTGTGTGAGAGAGAGAGAGAGCGTGAGAGCGTGAGAGCATGAGAGTGTGAGAGTGTGTGAGCATGTGAGCGAGTGAGCGAGTGAGAGTGTGTGTGTGTGTGTGAGAGAGAGAGAGAGCGTGAGAGCGTGAGAGTGTGAGAGCGTGTGAGCGTGTGAGCATGTGTGTGTGTGAGTGAGTGTCTGAGTGAGTGAGTGAGTGAGTGAGTGAGTGAGCGAGCGCGCGAGCGAGCGAGCGAGCGAGTGAGTGAGAGTGTGTCTGTCTGAACCTGCCTCTCCACTAATGTGATGACAGTCCTATAAAAATATGTCCAGAACTCAGCAGGTTTCACCGCTGCCTGTTGTAAGCACAGTTGCCTAGGCAACACAGTAAGTGTTGAAGGACACACACACACACACACACACACACACACACATGCATGTCTGATCAAACATGGGAAAGAACCTTCAGACTGAATCTCTTCTTGCTCTTATCTGTCACATGACTAAACGAGCTGTCAGTCGTGCATGTGTTGGTTTGATCAGATTAACGTCTGTTGTGTTCGGAGCCGTCGCTCTGAATGATCTTTGAACCTCCAAACCTGATGCAACCTGATGAAACCGTGTTGTCACACACTCTGCACACATGATCGCCTTCATTCTTCCCTTCAGACGCAGTTCAGGTCAACGAGTTTGTGTTGTTTTTCTTATTCTGAAATCTAAAATGCATAGAAACAAGTCCAATTCTATTTAATTTATTTATTTTTAATGATGTCCACTTATAATGTTAGTCAGGCTTCTTCTTAGCACAAAAAAACAGGTGTAATGTAGTTGTTAATCAACATTTTCCCCTTTTTCTGATGAGTTTTTCAATGGCTGAAGACTAATACAATGCGTAAAATAAAATTAAAATAGAAAAATTATTTAAAAAATAAATAAAATCACATTTTTTTAAATGAAATAAATGAGCACACTATTTACTACATTACTCACAGTTGTAATTTAGTTGTGAATAACTAAATTGCAATAAATTGCCCTTCTCTCTGAGAAGTTTGTCAATGGCTGATAAAATCAATTAAAATAAGATAATAAAATAACTAATTAAATAATAAATACATTTTCACCATTTTTTTTTAAATGAAACAAATTAGCACAATATTTACTATAATAATCACAGTTGTTATTTAGTTGTTAATCACTATTTTCCCCTCTTTTTAATGGGGTTTTCAATTGCTGGCGGCCAATAAAATGCCTATATGTGTGCATAAAATGCTTATAAATAAAAGTATAAATAAAAAAATTAAATAAAAGAAAAATAAAATCACACATTTTTAAATGAAATAAATTAGAACAATTTTTGCTACATTACTCATATTTGTAATTTAGTTGGGAATAACAACAAAAAAAGCTTCCTTCTGATGGGTTTGTCAATGGCTGATAAAATTTCCATATATGTGTAAAATATTTATAGTGTATATATAAAAAATATAAGTTAAAAAATTAATAAAAATAAATAAATATATAAATAACCAAAATAAAATCTTTTTGAAATTAAATAAAATAAGGACAAAAGTCACATTTAGTTAAAATGTCCTTCTCTATGATAGGTTTGGCCAATAAAATATCCGAATAAATGATCCGAATCATTTAGTAACAAAAAATTAATTGTAAATTTGTTTCATTTTGACATAGTGCATCAGACTTTTAAGACCAAGCAGTTCCAGTTCTCTGTGATTCGAGTCCTTTAACAGAAGGAAAGCTGAAGGTTTTGTGGTTGTGTGTGTGTTCAGGCGAAGCACCCGTGAGATCGTGTGTGTGACTCCAGAGGGTTTGGGTTCAGGAGGGACCCCAGTGATGGTGGACATAAACGCAGCCGAACTCAGAAACCCGGAGGTCAAGTTCAACTACACAGACGACCCCAGCATCCTGAAGATAGAGCCGGACTGGAGCATCGCCAGGTCAGACTCATGAACACACTGCGACCTGCTCGCTCAGGTTTGATTCTGAGGGTTATATGAGAGCGTTTCTCTGAAAATAAAATAGTCCACTAGAGCGGCTCGCAGTCACAGGTGCTTCAGCGTGAACGTGCGCAGCTCCATCTCTGGAGGTTTGATAACACCACAGTCTGCAGACACATGAATCTGACGGCAGAGAAATGCTGCAAACACACTCACTCTGAGTGTGTCACATCCACAGGGAGAGACACATGAGTGATGAAAGAGCGAGAGAGACAGGTTAAGCAGGTTAATACTCCAGCGGTTTGCTTTTATGCTGGAAATCGTGGAAGTTCGTTTACGACATTTAGAAGCAGCGTTCACATACACAAATAACACAGCTGTTTTAAAGAAATGTGAGCTTGTTTACCGTATCCTGACTAGTTATACTGATTTAACATGGCTATTTGTTGGCATTTTCATTGCAAATTAACATATATATATATATATATATATATATATATATATAGGCATTTTCATTGTATTTTTAAAGTTCTATGGTATTATGCACTACTAAATGTCAAAAGTTTGGGGTCAGTAAGAGTTTTTTACATTTTTGAAGTCTCTTTTGCTCACTGAGGCTGTATTTGTTTGATCAAAAATACAGTAAAACACTAAAATTGTAAAATATTTTTGCAATTTAACTGCTATTTTCTGTGTGAATATCTGTTAAAGTGTAATTTATTTCTGTGATGCGCAGCTGTATTTTCAGCATCATTACTCCAGTCTTCAGTGTCACATGATCTTCAGAAATCATTATAATATGCTGATTTGCTGCTCAAGAAACATTTCTGATTATCATCAATGCTGAAAACTTCACAACAAAGTTGTGCTGCTTCATATATTTATGGAAATTGTGATACATTTTATATTTCCGGATTATTTGATTCAAAGAGAGTTCAAAAGAACAGCATTTGTTTGAAGCAGAAATTCTTTTGTAACATTATAAGTGTCTTTAATGTCACTAATGTGTCCTTGTTGAATAAAAGTATTAATTTCTTTAAAAAAAAAATGACAAACCCCAAACTTTTGAATGGTAATGTACTTCATTCTTCACCTTTAACAGTTCAGTATGCAGTAGGTGTGTTTCAAATCGCCTGATTGGCTTCAGAAGGAAATCCAGATGTTGTGTGAGGTTATGGATGGTTAGCAAGTTGTTCATGTTTGCTAGATGTTTACGTTGCTGTTTTTCTCTCTGTTAGTGGTGGAACCCCGTTAACAGTGATTGGAAGCAACCTCGCCAGCATCAGAGAGCCGAAGATGAGAGCCAAATACAGCAGCGTCACTTCAGTCAACGTAAGTCTCTAACACACACATTCATCATCATTCTTATCATTGGGTTTATCAGCATTATTCCTTCCTTTCTCTCTATATTCATACCCAGTAGTTTAGCACTAGTTTAATATTTAAAAAAGTATTTCTGCAAAAATATTAAGCAGCTTCAACATTGATAATAATCAGAAATGTTTCTTGAGCAGCAATGCAGCATATTAGAATGATTAGAATGATTTCTGAAGATCATGTGACACTGAAGAATGGAGGAATGATGCTGAAAATACAGCTGCGCATCACAGAAATAAATTACAGTTTAACAGATATTCACATAGAAAACAGTTATATTAAATTGTAATTATATATCAGATTTTTACTGCTTTTACTGTATTTTTTATCAAATAAATGCAGCCCTCATGAGCAGAAGAGACTTCTTTCAAAAACATGACCTCAGACTTTTGAACGCTGCAGTCTAGACTAGTTTTATGGTGTTTTTTGTTCCCTCTGAGCTCTAAAGCAGCATGAACAGACAAACGAGTATACCTGCACATGTTTTTCTTTGCGTATGTGTGACATTGAATCACCTTTTCCCAGTTTAACCTTTAAAATGTCAACGGCTGACGGGATATAGAACATAAAATGGCTCTATAAAGCCCTGAGAAAGTCCCGCAGGGCGAATGTGACCTTTTCTTCTCCTTGACCCGCTCATCTGGCTGCTGTTTTCCTCCTCTCTGCTGCTTGTGTCTTCTCTTTAATGGCTCTGAAGCAGCGTTAGTGTCTTCAGTAATGCTTTTAATGTTTGCTGTCTCTCACAGAACTGCACTGTGCTGAATAACACCGTGATGGTGTGTCTGGTGCCGTCCGTGGTGGGGTCCGAGAGGGATTTCTCAGAGGCGGGCAGCGGGCCGGATGAGATCGGGTTCATCATGGATAACGTTCAGACGCTGCTGGTGGTGAACGAGACCTTCAGTTTCTATCCCGACCCTGTGTTTGAACCCTTCAGCCCGTCCATGCTGGAGCTCAAACCGGGATCTCCTCTCATCCTGAAGGTGAGGAGATCTCATTACACGCGTTGGAGCCATTGTACTGTATTTCTTTATTTTTTAGCATAATAATCCCCTTAGAGCAACACTGCTACTATAAGGCCACCTGCATGTCTGTTGTTGCATTTATGCACAGTTTTTACAGTGATATTGGAGTGATATTTCTCAAACATGTTATTAGTACCAGTGTTATTCTAGTTAAGTAAAGCCATAAAAAAACTCAAACTAAAACCATTCGTTACTTAAAATACAAATAAACATGAACTGATATAAATAAAATGAAAGAAAGTTTAGTTTGCTAGATGCCAACACTGAAATTTAAAAAGTAATAAAAACTATATCAACATAATTTTTTTTATTATTTTTTTTTTATTATGTAAAATATAAATAGTAGGATAAAAATTTGAGCTTAAATTATTTGGAAAATTAGAAATGTTGTCTTGGCAGCTTACCTTAAATAAGTACAAAATTGACTAAAACTGAAACTAGAAAAAAAAAAGACAATATAAATAAAAAAAAATAGAAATTTTAATTTATTTATAATAAAATTACAAAAATAATAATAAAATCACTAAAACTTTATCTAAAATTGATACAGAAAATCTAAAAATAAAAACTTGAAAATAATAAAAATATATAATAGTGTATTATACTAAAATAACACAGATTAGTACACTATTACTATATGTGCATCCCAGTTTGTGTACATTTTGTGGTATAAACAGTGCAAGTAGTTTGTTGAAAATTCCATTATAGAAGACGTCTCAAAGCATTGCATTTTTGCACAATTATTTTTTGTGCTACAGACATGATTGATTGTTCAGATCATGAAGTGTTATTAATTTTCTAAGCAAATACATTTTCACATGGCAGCTGGCAGAAACGAGACTTGAGAGAGGTGCCTGGGACATTTCTAAAGATCTGAATATCGTAGAAACTTAAGGGTGAACTTTTTAGATTTGGGCCACTAAGAAACCGCATAGCAACACCCTGGCAACCAAGCCACCGAGACACATTAACTTAAGGAAATAGCCTTCATAAATCTAGTTAATTAAAATGCTTGTGTGGTGTTGAGGTCCTGCCTCACTCATGCGCAGCGTTAAATAATTTCAGAAAAATGACATGCATCGGATTATCTGCAATTCAATTTCCCATGCAATCCCCTCTGGGTAATGCGCAGTATGAGTTGAGTCTACATGTTAAATGGAGCCCTTCAGTAACACACGGCTCTAAATGAAGCATGCAAATATTTATGCATGGTTCTGCCTCCAGGTTTTGCCTTCCCATAAGCCCCTTGGGCAGAGAGAGATAGTGAGTGCTGGAAATCTGGTTAAGCAATCGCATCGTAAGTTCAGACTGGATAGGAATTTGACCATTCTAGTTCACGGCAGTGTTATTTAAAATTATTTTAAAATTTTTAATTGGTTTTAGTTGACTATTTTAATTTATTTAAGTTTTAATTTAATATTTAATTGAATATTTTCATCCATTTAAGTTTGAGTAATTTTTAATATTTCTATCAAAAAATTGCTTTACTTTTAGTTCTATTTCAGTCATTTTAATACTTGTTGTATTTCATTAACTTTAGTTAACAAAACTGGTTCATAGGATTAGATTCCACTTCAGATTCTGGTTCTTTAGCAATTTAAGATACAAATACTATGCACAAAATATTTCTGTTAATATATTTCAATGTTTTACTTAAACTAAAGAAACTGCGATTGCACAGACGGATTTGAAGACTTGAGCTTTAGCGAGTTGATAAACTGATTCAAAACAAAACTAAGAGACTAGTTTGAGACTAATTTAAAAGAGCAGACTCATAAGAGTCATAAAAGTCCAACTACTGGTTGTTTTTGAACTTTGGTTAAGAAGGAAACACTGGCAGAGTGTTTGAGGATGATGTTGAAAATATGATAATGATTAAACGTAAACACGTCTGTGTGTGTGTGTGTTTTTGTGTTTCAGGGCAAGAATCTGATTCCTTCGGCTGCTGGTAACTCCAGGTTAAACTACACCGTTCTGATCGGTGACAAGCCGTGTGTGTTAACCGTGTCCGAGGCTCAGCTGATGTGTGAATCGCCAGACCTCTCCGGACAACATAAAGTCACTGTAAGTGTGTCATGCGATGATTCCCGTCTTAAAGCGCTCTGATCTCTTTCCCACGACTATCACGCCGTCTCATCCTATGACTCTTTCTCTCATCCGTGTGTATTGTTCTGCGTTTCAGCCCATGTTTCTAAGCATCAGATTACTGCTGGGAGTTTCTGTCGTGGCTCTCTAGGGTTTTGTGTTGTATTTATTTACACTGAGTTTGCAAAGAATCTGAGACGCAGATCTGTGTTTACATGTAGTCGGTTTCATCTTTAAATTGCTGCAGCACATGCACGTTCAATTATATTTTGTATGGCAGAGTTATTAAAACATAACTCCCATGTTTTTTCCCAAGCTCTCTTTCTGTGTGAGAACAACAGAGACGCTGCGACCCACATGTTTGTCCTCGACCTATATATCATGACCCATATCAGCGAGAGAACGCCGTTTAGCTACCGCTTTACTCGCGATATAAAACTTCACACTCACCCGTTTTGACCGCTTTAGCCTCCTTAAACCCGTTCAAGTGTGATCTACATTATCAAAGCGATGGTTCAGCCAAAAATCATTTACTCACCCTCAAGCTGTTCCAAAACTGCATGAATTTTGTTCTTCTGCTGAACACAAAAGAAGATATTTTGAAGAATGTGTGTTACCACACATTTGCTGGACCCCATTGACATCCATTGTATTTTTTCATACTATGGAAGCCAATGGGGACCAGCCACTGTTTGGTTTCCAACACTATCCCTTTAAGATTATCTAAAGATGCAGGTTTGTTTGAGAGATGTGGAATTATGGGATGTATTTGGGTGGTGCTGTGTGAGGTGCATTCACAATGTGGGATGGATTGTTATTTTAATATTTAGTTTTAGGAGCTCATTTTATATTTATGATTTCCCCTCAAGTCCTCTTATAATGTGAGTTTAGGTTTCTTAAACCAAAAACAATCGTAGTTTATTTTTTAATGATCATTTTCCACCCTCTCTCTGATGTTCACAATTAAATATGCTGATCTTCCATATGTAAATGACCTATGATTGGCTGAGTTTTTGCATATGAAATGAGGAGCACCACCTCCTCATTACATATGCGAAACACTTTCTTTCGTGCTTACTTTTGCACTTTTTGCTCCCTTTCTTTCTAAGACCCTCTAAAAATGCAGGTTCACTTGAGAGATGTGGACTGTGAGGTACATTCACTGTGGGATAGATTGTTATTGTAGTCATAACTGTTTTAAGAGCTCATTTTATGCATTTTATATTTTCTCCACTTCTAGTTCTATTCTAGGTGTATTGAACCAAAAACAATTATAGTTTGGTTTATGTCCATTTTCCACCATCTCTGGCATTTACAATAAAACAGGCTAATGTTCCATATGTAAATGACCTCTTTTATGATTGGCTGACCTTTTTGCGAATGAAATGAGGAGCAGCACCTCTGCTGAGTTGCTGTTGAAATAGTGATTTTAATGAGCTCATGGTCATGAAGGCATAACAGTGATTTCTGAATCATCTATTATTTCATTGGAAAGAGAGTTCCTGTTTTCCATGCAGTGGCTGTTTTGACAGCTGTCAGTCGTGGTGTGATATGATGTGCGACACTCAGCACGCGCGCGTGTGTGTGTGTGTGTGTGTGTGTGTGTGTGTGTGTGTGTGTGTGTGTGTGTGTGTGTGTTGTGCAGATCTTGGCCGGAGGTTTCCGATACTCTCCAGGAACTCTGCAGATCTACTCCGACAGCCTGCTGACGCTCCCCGCCATCATCGGGATCGGTGGAGGAGGAGGTCTTCTTCTGCTCGTCATCATCATCATCCTCATCGCATACAAGCGTAAATCCCGTGACGCGGACCGGACGCTCAAACGGCTGCAGCTGCAGATGCACAATCTGGAGTCCAGAGTCGCCCTGGAGTGCAAAGAGGGTAAAACAGCGTCATTACTGTACATCACTGCATTCACCAGTGCTCTTTCTGACTTTCGCACTCTTTCATGCTTTGTTTTGCTCTTTTTTTTTGTCTGCTGCTCTTCCTTTCTTTCTTTCACACTCTTTCTTTTAATGTTTTCACTCCTTTGTGCTTTCTTTCATGCTTTATTTTCTTCCTTTTGCACTCTTTACACTTCTTTCTTCCACTCCTTTCCCCCTTTGTTTTTCATTTGCTCTCTTGCACTTTTTTGCACTTTTAATGCTCAGTCTTTTGTGCTTTTTTCGTGCTTTCTTCCTTGTGCACTTTTCTTTTGCTCCTTTTGTTCTTTCTTTCTGTTTCTTTTTCACCCTTGCGCTTTTTCATGTTTTTTCCACACTTTCTTTCATGTGCTTTCTTTCTTTCTTTCTTTCTTTCTTTCTTTCTTTCTTTCTTTCTTTCTTTCTTTCTTTCTTTCTTTCTTTCTTTCTTTCTTTCTTTCTTATGTGCTTTCTTTCTTTCTTTCTTTCTTTCTTTCTTTCTTTCTTTCTTTCTTTCTTTCTTTCATGTGCTTTCTTTCTTTCTTTCTTTCTTTCTTTCTTTTCTCTCTTCCTTTATTTCACATTTCCATGCGTTCATGTTTTCTTTTGCACTTTTCCTTTCTTTCATGCTTTCATTCACTTTCTTTTGCTTTCTTTTTTCGCTCTTGATCACATTCTCATGCTTGCTTTCATGCTTTTTGCTTTCTATATTTCTTTTGTGCATTCATTCACACTTTTTGTTGGTTCTTTATCCATTCCTTTGTTCTCTTTCATTCATTTGTTTGTTCTCTCCATCTCATCACTCTCCTTCAATATCTTTCAATTGTTCTCAATTGGTTTTCCTGGTTTAATTTTATCTTCCTCTTACGTTTGCTCGTGGCCCTCCTCTCTCTCTCTCTCTCTCTCTCTCACGTTAATTTGTTTGTTCTCTCCATCTCATCACTCTCCTTCAATCTTTTTCAATAGTTCACGATTGGTTTTCTTGGTTTAATTTTATCTTCCTCTTCCGTTTGCTCGTCGCCTCTCTCTCTCTCTCTCTCTCTCTCTCTGATTGGCTTTGTTTTCTGTGGTCTCCTGTTAGCGATGACCTCGTGATGCTCACATCATTTATCCCGCCGTGGTCATGAGGGCGAGACGAGCCGCCCATTATCTGTCTCTTGTCGGGCCCGAGGTGACGACCTTGTCTGTCTCCAGACTTGGAGCAAGGGATGAGGACAGGGAAGAGAGGATAAAAGAGATGGATAGCAGGAGGTGAGAGTGACAGGTCACTGATAAGTGATGAGACGTCCTCCAGGATGAATAAAAAGAGGCAATAAATAACCACAACATCCAGATTGATTAGGTGAGTGGCAGGTAAATGTCAGTGTCAGGACCATGTGGTAGAAGTGCTGGTGTCATTCACGGCCATCAGACCATTCATTTTAAAAGCCATCTCAAATCAGAAAGCTCCAGTCTGATTGGTTGGCTTTATGCAGTTTCCAGTTGGATTTTGACAAGTAGTGGTCAAACAAATAGCAAATAACACATGCTGCAAATAGATATTTGTTTTACATAATATTTACTAAACTATAACATTTACATTTACATTTACATTTAGTCAGATAACCAGGGGTTCGAGGGGGCAGCCCGTGCTGGCCTGGAGGAGAGAGGACAAATATCATCTAGACAAGAAGTTAAAGTAGAGCATAAAGTGTCAGTTGCTGCATTCACATCCAGAGATGAGAAATGGGTAGGTGAGGGAAGAGAGGAGGATACAACGGAGGAAAGATGGGAGGGGGAAAGGGAGCGTAGGTTTCGTCTAAAAGTAACCGGTATAGGGGTTGGTGGCACACAGGTAGCAAAATGTAGTTTAAATGTAATGAAGAAATGATCAGAGATATGAAGGGGTTTTACCAGAAGTAAAGTAAATTATAAGTAAATATTTTGAAAATGAATAAATATGAAACAAATTAACCCTAACTTGTTGAAAAAAAATTATAAAATAAACAGAATTAATAGCAACTTCTTGAAGTAATCATATTAAATCCTATTAAGAAATTGTTCAAAAAATATAAAGCAAGTAACCATTGTTTAACCAACAATGATATATAACAAAAATACACTTGCTGAATATTAAAGCTTAATATAGTGCTTGCCTTTCTGTTACTAATAATAGAAAAGCAAAGCAAATATACCGTTTACTTTCTTAGTTTACCAGTTCTGTCTAATAAATGATTAGTAAACTAATGAAGACAGACAATCATGTGCATCTCTGCTCAGGTGCTGCTGAAAATAATAGTCCCACTTCCAACTCTTATCAGTCACTCCTTGGAAAAATGCAGATAATAAACGCAAGATGTATAGGCTGAGGGTGTTGTTATATGGTTGCTAGGGTATTCTGAGTGGTTGCTAGGGTGTTCTGGCTGTTTCCCAGGATGTTGCTATGTGGTTTTTAGGGTAATCTTTGAGCACATCACTACAGACTGAAATTCTGATTGAAGTTCACATTTTCTACAACTTTTTTCTTCTTCTTTTTAGAAACTTTCGTGGAGAATCTGGAGGTCTTAGCTTCCACTCAGCGGTTTGCACAACACAAAGATTTACTCTTTCTCTTGGTCTCTGTGTTTCCAGCGTTTGCGGAGCTGCAGACTGATATCCATGAGCTGACGCAGGATCTGGATGGAGCTGGAATCCCGTTCCTGGATTACCGCACTTACGCCATGAGAGTGCTTTTCCCAGGAATAGAGGACCATCCGGTGCTGAAGGAGATGGAGGTGAAAGCTGGACACCTGTCAGATTTAATGCATTCGGCTGAACTGTATGTGTCTGTTTACACCTGGTCACTTCATGCGTTTTCTCTGATCCGATAGCTATCCGATCATGAAAAGACCAGGTGTAAACGCTTTTAAATCCGATCGCTCAAACCACTTCAGGAGGTGGTCTGGGCCGTAAATACATCTAGTTGTTGAAACCACATATGCAAATTTTACTCCTCCCAAAATATTAAAATAATAAACCCGTGAGAGCATTTTATAGGCTATATGGCATGTTATAGTCAGATAATGCAACACGCATCGCCGCGGATGAGTAGCTGAGTATCTCTTAAGCAAGCCGACGCGCAAACTGCCACAAATGAAACTGAAAGTGAGTCGCAGATGCTCAACACACAATCATCTTCATTAAAAGGAGTGAGACTGACCTATCTTTCCAGTGCTGATGCCGCGCTCTCTCCTGTTTCGGTCTTTGATCTTGAAATGAGCTGTTGATGAATAAAATAGCATAAAATGCAGCACGTATCTGTTGCTTTCATTGACGTGAGCTCCGTTAAATTTGCGTACAGCACGGGAATTGAAGACAGACATAGACACATTTATGTGGCCAAGTGTAAATGGAAACTAGATAGATATCCGATCAGAGAAAATGCATGAAGTGAGCAGGTGTAAATAGGCCCTATGTTTCTCCGTCTCTCTCAGGTGCCGGCGAATGTGGAGAAGGCTCTGACTCTGTTCGGCCAGCTCTTGAATAAGAAGCACTTTCTGCTGACGTTCATCCGGACGCTAGAGGCCCAGCGCTCGTTCTCCATGCGCGACCGCGGGAACGTGGCGTCTCTCATCATGAGCGCTTTGCAGGGCGAGATGGAGTACGCCACCGGCGTCCTGAAACAGCTCCTGTCTGACCTCATCGACAAGAACCTGGAGAGCAAGAACCACCCCAAACTCCTGCTGCGAAGGTACCACGTGTTACCAGGCATCTGATGGACTTTCTTAAATCTTCCTTTGAATCTTCTTAAATTCTTAAGACTTAAATTGAGGCACACGACATAAGATATTAAGTAGGGCTGTCGTTAATTTGGTGCTATTCGTGATGCAGGACGACTGACTGCGTGATGCTAAAATTCTAATATTCTAATAAAATTCTAATTCTAATTCCTAAAATTCAATATGAGGGCAAGAAATGTCATATGATATAGTTTTGCAATATCACAAGAGCAATGGTGCTGTTTTTCCCAAATATTTGCATGATTGCAAATGTGATAAAGCAGTAAGCCCCAAGAAGCCGTGGTTTGCAGTGAATTTATAACAGCTAAGGGGCGTTGTTGGGTACGACGCGAAGCAGAGTGCCTAAAACCCCCTTAGCTGTTATAATTCACTGTAAACCATGGCTTCACGGGGCTTATTGCTTTTATAAAATGGTTATTCCATATACGCAGTACGGTTTCACAAAATAAAACAGAGCAAATAAAGTGTAATGATAATAAAAACAGTATTCTTCCACCAAACAATGTAGTTCCTCAGAAACAGTTGTGGTTCCAACAAAGTGGTTGCCGAGCAACACACAGAAGTAAACAAAGGTGTATGTTACTTTGTAGAGTAATTCACAACAGCTTAGAACGCAGCTCAACCAATCAGAATCAAGGACCGGAACTCTCCGTTTTATAATATAGATTTTTATACAATAGTTCAATAAACAAGAAGTTAGTATTGTTACATTTTAGACACAATATTTCCAATATTGTCTGTTATGCTCAATTTTGCAAATGAAAATATTTCCAATCAAAGCCACAGCAGGAGTGTTGTGCGTCTTTTGTTGCTGTACGAATCCACGTTTTTGCACAAATCGAGCGAGTCGGTGATACAGTGTTTCATTCATAGAGTTAAATTTCTGAATTAATCAGCCGTTTAAATGAATCAGTTGAATGAATGACTAAACGACTCACTCATTAAGACACTTGTGGTTTTAGTTTCATGTTGAGAGTATCATTACAAAAAGTCATATTTCAATATTCAAATAAAAATGTTAATGCCAGTTATCATCACTATTTATGCAATGTAAAAATCTAAATATTTATTTCTAAAGCTACTTTTTTGTAATATCTATTCAATGAAGATTCAGTTTAACACAGTAATCAGATTAATTAATCAGCACATCATGTGATCAATTAGATAAAAAATGTTCATTGCTTGACAGCCCTAATATTAATCTTGCTTTCTGAAAAACTAGCAAAATGAAGTGAGTTTATGCTTAAAACAAGCCAATGGGGTCAGAAAAATAAACTTAATTCAAATGGAAAACAAATGTATTTTCTGACTGTATTGGCAGATTTGTTTAAGCATGAACTCACCATTTTTCAGAAAACAAGACTTAATATCTTATGTAAGTTTGCTTCCTAAATAAATATATCTTGGTTGAAGAATGTTTAGATATTTGTGCTGGGAAACAAGACAGAAATATTTTTTGAACTCTTAATTGCTTGATGTTCACAAGTTCCCACGTTGCACCTGGTTAGTCACAGTGTTAATGGACATGATGAGGACTTCTAGTTTGACTTCTAGGGGTCACATTTGCTCTCCATCCCTCCGTTTCTCGGTTTGCCCTTTCACGTCCGTGGCTCTGTTTCTGTCAGATGGTGTTACACACCTGAGCACACACTGGTTCCCCGAGGAGCGCTGTGGGAGATGAAGCTCCTGGAGGAGACGTGACAGGAGAAGAGAGATGAAGACTTTAGTCTTGTCTGTCTTGAATCAATATCACAGAAAAAAACAAGTCAACGCTTTGTGAAATGTCTTTTTGCATTTCAGTGTTTCATCTACAGTACATCTCTTTGACATCAGCTTTATTTGCAACGAAAGTAAAGATGCATCCCCAGATCCATTTGGATGAATCTAATAGTAGAATGTTACTAAAGCAATAAGCCCCGTGAAGCCGTGGTTTACAGTGAATTTATAACAGCTAAGGGGCGTTGTTAGACACGACGCGAAGCGGAGTATTCTCAGTATTCTTCCGCCAAACAATGTAGCTCCTCAGAAACAGTTGTGGTTGCAACAAAGTGGTTGCCGAGCAACACACAGAAGTAAACAAAGGTGTATGTTTGTAGAGTAATTTACAACAGCTTCGAACGCGGCTCAGCCAATCAGAATCAAGGACCAGAACTATCCGTTTTATAAGATACAATAATAGCATGGGACATTTTCCATTTACTCCAAAATTAAAAGGAAAAAATTTGCATAAAGAAAAAGAAGCCTGTTTTTAGAACAGTTAATACTCTTTCACGTTGTGACATGATTTGCATGACAATCAAGCATTTCTCATGCTGATTACAGTAGAAATTACTGTATGAAAGTGGTTTGATTAATCAGTTATATACAAAAATATGTAAATTCTATTCTGATGTATCTGTACCGTTACAGTAATGAGAAATGGTTTAATTGTCATGAAAATAATATCACTATATTGTCTGAAAATGCAAAAAAAAACGCTTAATTTTCTTTAAACAAAATATGGTTTTGCATAATTTTTATTTATTTATTGATTGTTATTTTAGTTATTTAATCCATGTATTATCATTACCGCTACTACAACTACTACTAATGCCATATGTATTTATTTATTCATTCATTTATTCATTTTAACTCATTTATAACTATTATTATTATTATTGCCAGACAGGTTTTGTGTCATTCACACCCAAGCGATATTCAGCAATACCTCAAAAATGACGGTTCTTGTCTGTCTGTACTGATCTCTTGTCTAGTTTGGTTTCAGAGTAATTTTTCCACTGTAGCTTCTCAGTCTCTGTTCCTCTCTCTCACCTGACAAACCTCACCTGAAGATCAAATAAATGTGAGCAGTCAAATCTCAATCTTTCACCGCTCCAGAAACGTTTCCAGCACAATATTCTCAGGTTTTCTTTAATAACTCCTCGCAGCGTGTCGTTCGTGTCGAGCTCTTATCGTTTTCCTCTGCATCGGTCTTAACGAGTGAATAATTCAGCAGAGATGCTAAAAACAAACATATTCCACCAGGTTCCTCGTCTACACCTCCTCTCGCACGCCGTGAGCAGATTAGCGCTAATAAGGTCCGTTAATTACCAAGCCGTGTAATTAGCCTCATTCCGAGGGACTTGTTTCGGAGGGTTGTTATTGTGCGCCAGGTTTCTGTTCAATGACAGAAGAATATTTTTAATTGGTGTTTTCTTAATGAAGTTTAGTGGTTTGCTTTGCGAGGGAAGAGAGCAGCACTTTGGTTTGTTATTAATGCGAAATTATTAGCGTGTTTGCTTTGCGCTCGGGTCCTTTGAAGGTTTGAGGGAATAATTCGGCCGCGGCACTTTGATGTCAAATGGGAGTTTAATACAACATCCCCCGAAAGATGTTGGTTATGGGAATGGTTTTTCTTGTTGTGAGACTTGGGAAATTGGGGAACGAAGAAGCCTTCAAAGCATCTCTCTCTGCTCTTAAAGGTTAACTCCGGCACGCAAGTAAATAAATCCTTGACATTTATTTGTTTCCCCCTCAGGACTGAGTCTGTGGCTGAGAAGATGCTAACAAACTGGTTTACTTTCCTCCTCTACAAGTTTCTCAAGGTGAGTGGAAGGAACTGTATGACTGTTTCCATGTATCTTAAGCGATGTTACTCATTATATGGATTCCCTGCTAACAAAGAAGAGGTTTGCTGGTCTTCCACTGGTCTGGTTTACTGGTTTCAAAGAGCTTTTGTCACATGTTCTATTTAGGTTATGTTTGACAAAATAATATTTATGCAATTTCAATGCATTTATTTACATGTATACTTTTATGCACTACTGTTTTATTCAGCAAGGATGCATTAAATTGAGCAAAAGTGACAGTAAAGACATTTATAATGGTACAAAAGATTTCTATTCTGTTCTATTTCTACTCATGAAAAATAAAATGTCTCGGTTTCCACAAAAATATTGTGCAGCACAACTGTTTTCAACATTGATAATAATCAGAAATGTTTTTTTGAGCAGCAAATCAGCATATTAGAATGATTTCTGAAGATCATGTGACACTGAAGACTGGAGTAATGATGCTGAAAATTCAGCTGCGCATCACAGAAATAAATTACAGTTTAATATATATTCACATAGAAAACAGCTATTTTGAATTGTAATAATATTTCATAATTTTCCTGTTTTTACTGTATTTTTGATCAAATAAGTGCAGCCTTGGTGAGCAGAAGAGACTTATTTCAAAAACATTTAAAAAGTCTTACTGACCCCAAACTTTTAAATGGTTTTGTATGTTTGTTTGAAAATGAGGTTACAATTTAGTCTGGTTTCTTTTTAATTTTGATATTTGCATCAACTTTTAGTTTTATCAACTAAAATTATATACCATTACAGTCAGAGTAAAATGACCTAAAACGAATGAGTATGAGTGCTATAAAATACTGACCCAAATGTAAAGGAAATTTTCATCCACAGACAAAAACGTTGACTGAAACCAGTAAACCACATTTTTTTCTTTACAGGGTCATGAGTGATTTAATAAATGCAGTGGTTTTTGATTTGCATATTTAAGGTCCAGACACTATCTGTACATGATCATGTTGCTGTTTAATTGCTGTTTCACCTTGAGTTTGTTTATTGAAATTCAGATACAAGATAGACAGATGTACATTATCATTCCCGCAGGGGAAGTTCATTATTACAATCTTTAAGAACTTGCATTAATATAAAGCGCTTCCATAACACACTGGAGTGAGGGGCGTTTTGTGTGTGTGTGTGTGTGTGTGTGTGTGTGTGTGTGTGTGTGTGTGTGTGTGTCGTCTCCTGCTGCTCATTAACAGATGTGTGTTTAATTATCCCCTGTGCTAATGAGCCCAGTGTGGCAGGGCCGGCATATGGATGGGCCGCACCGTCCCGCTACGGATCCCAGTGAGGGACACGAGACACAACAAACATCCAGCAGTGTTTTCACCTGAGAGCGCGAGCACCGCTGATTAAAGTTGTCTGCGTCTTATACGGTTTAATTACTTTGGGTAATTAGCCATGAGCTTTAAAGAAGCGACTTTTGCGACGCATTTAACTTTAATAATGTGGCATATTTTCAAACTGGCTCCTGACCACACCCCCTTCTGCCATTGGTCAGATAAACCAATAGCCCCGCCCACACACTCTCACCATTGGTTGAATCAGCTGTGTGAATGTTTTGAAAGCAGCCTTACACATTTTTTTCCTCTGCATATTAAGCTGAGACACAAGAAGGTGTTTTAACCATTATAAAAACACAAAATTTGATTTCATAAAGCACTGATCTTGTGGTGTTTTGCGCTCTCATTTGGGCACATTTGCATCAGACAAAAGAGACACACTCTCAGGAGACAGACGGGACTGATAGAACGAAGATGATGATCAAATTAGTGAGACGGAGACGAGAAGAGCAGCAGTTGTGAATGATGAAAGCCAGAGAATGTGTGTAGGAGGAAGCGACTGAGCCAAACGCAGAGAGAGAGGCGTGTGATTGGCTGTTTGACACGTATCACGCTCTGAAGTGTTTCTCCAGCTCTCTCCTCCACAGTCATTAGCCTTTTATTAACCCTCCATCGCTCGTCTGTTCGCCTCGGGTCTGTTCACGCGCCCGCCACTCATTTCCACGTCTAAACAGCAGCTTTTACACGCCTGACGCTCCTGGGAGGTTTTGTCTGATTTATTTTTTAGGAGTTGCACATTAGATCTTCAAGATATTGCTGAGGCAATAAACTCATCTCTAAACTTGTATTTTCACTCCAGCTTAAGCACTAAAGCTGTGGTTTACACTGTAAGTGACCAAAAAGGTACAGTCTGTTTTGATAGCAAAATTTGTTAACACTAATTTGTTAATCTAATTTAAATAAATACAAATATATTTAAAAAATGATTTATTTTATCATTATTTTAGATAAATAATACTATAATTTGTTTACATTTATCATTTTAATCATTTGATTTATTAATTTTTTTTAAATGTAATCATTTAATCATAACTAAATTTCACAAGTAAATGTAATGAAATTAAAATATTTTAACTAAAACCGATAAATCCCACACACTGCTATAGCTTGCGAATCATATTTTAATACATTTAGGTCATGCCACCTTCATCAAACATTGTTTTATGAATATTTGAAATAAAATCCTTTCTTTTCCAACTGAAATCCATTGTCATGCAGTAACATTTACTTTGCATGGTTTAATTTAGATCAGTGAAATAGTAATGGTAAAGTGATTTTACATAATGCATGCACATATTTGTGATTAGAAACCAAATATGAAGGCTGAAAACATCTTTGACATAATGGTTAGAAGTTATTAAAATATATAATGAAATCGATAAAATAGGGACTTTTATTATTAGTGAAATGGGTGAAAGGGAAAGTGAAGTGGCTGGAGTAGATGTGCAACACATCAAAAAATAAATATGGGGCGTGACGCCGCTAACAGAATGTGACTTGTCTGTTTTGCACTCATTTCATGGTCACATGAGGTGGTTTTGAAAGCGGTGGAGTGCTGTGAAATGGCCAGAATGAAAGCGAGAGGGACGAGTAAAAATATATCCACAAGGGCAAAGTGGAGAAAATGACCACAATTGGCAAAATTGGAAGAATAGATGCTGCAGACGCAGTTATCCAATGGTGGAAAACTTCTTGATCACAGTTATGGTGACACTTCAGTTATAACGGCCCCTAGGACCAGAAATTGATGTCATTTGGGACGCGTCCTCAGATTTTCCTGCTGTCCACATTGTGTTTGAGGGTTATGGGCCAGTTCTAAACATTTAATTTGCTCAAATCTGACAAATGGGTTTAGAAATGAATTATTTTAACATGTTTTTAAGGCCTTTCAACAAACCCATATTATCAGGTAAATTGGGATGTATTTGAAAGTCCTTAAAGGGACAGTTCACCCAAAAATGGAAATTCCGTCATCATTTAACTCATTCCAAAGTTGCTAACCAAACAGTTTCTGCTAGCCAATGAGTTCCATAGTATTTTCTTCCATAATATGGAAGTTAATGAGGACCAAAAACTGTCTGGTTACCCACATTTTTCAAAATATCTTCTTTTATGTTAAACAGAAGAAAGAAGATTTGGATCAACTTGAGGGTGAGAGTAAATGATGGCAGAATTTTCATTTTTGGGTGAACTGTCCCTTTAAAAATGGAAAAGTTGATTAAGTTTTTACACATAAAGTAACACTTATTATAGTACCACCTTGAATTCTCACAAAATATAAAAATCACGTTGTGTGCGTCCCATGATCTATTGATATCACTGCTGTGTGAAACTCAAAATGCCGCCTTCCAGGGATGAAATGGAGAAAATTAAGGATTCATTTACCCCATACAGCCCTGGTTTCGAAGCTAAAACATGAATAGGCTTGTTACAGCTCCTCCTAGAGTCAGATGGGTGTGTGTGCATGAGTTATGGGTGGGATTTGTGTCTGTTTTAGGACATGAAAATGATCCAAACACTTTATAAATATACTATAAGTGCTTGCATTGAGTGTGTGTTCACGTGTTATTCTGAGGTCTAATCTCACTCTCTATTATCTGTGTGTTCAGGAGTGTGCAGGTGAGCCTCTCTTCATGCTGTATTGTGCTATAAAGCAGCAGATGGAAAAAGGGCCGATAGATGCCATCACCGGAGAGGCCAGATACTCGCTCAGCGAGGACAAACTCATCCGACAACAGATCGACTACAAAACACTGGTCAGTTCTGACTCGAAATCTACAAGGAATGGTTCTGAATAAGTCAGAAACACATCTTTTTATCGCATTTTGTCATAGTTGTCTGTATTATATGGAAGCCCGCAACTGAGACTTTTTATCTCAAAATTCTAACTTTTTTGTCTTGCAGCTGTCTGTACATCCCACACTTTGGACTTTTCTTCTTGCTATTCTGACTTTTTTGTGTGATATAAACTCATAATTCTGACTTCTTTCTTTGCTATTCTGACTTTTCTCACAATTCTGTGTTCTTTTCTCAGAATTGCATGATATAAACTTGCAATTCTGACTTTTTTTCGCACAATTCTGGCTTTTCTTTGCTATTCTGATTTTTCTCACAATTATGACTTATTTTCTCAGAAAAGTGACTTGCAATTGCAGGTTATAAAGTCCAATTCTGCCAGAAAAAAAGACGTGTTTTCTTACAATTGGGAGTTCACATCACACAATTCTGAGAAAAAAAGTCAATTGCAAGATGTGAGAAAAAAGTCAGAATTGTGAGATAATAAGCCACAATTACCTCTTTTATTTTTATTCAGCAGCAGAAACAAGCCCTCATAGTATTGCATGTTATAAGTGTTAAACACTGTAATTTTTATTCAGCTATACTTGAATGGATTTGTTTCAGTGAACAGTGTGTATGTGATTTATTTAAGTGGGAGATTGTTTTAATACACTCAAATGTGTTTCTCTGGTTTGCAGACGCTACACTGCATTAACCCAGAGAATGAGAACGCAGCCGAGGTCACCGTTAAGTGCCTGAACTGCGACACTATCACACAAGTCAAAGAGAAGCTGCTGGACGCCGTCTTTAAAGGCACTCCGTACTCACAGCGGCCCAAAGTGGGAGACATGGACCTCGGTACGAAAATAATGAATGCTGGAAAACCAAGCTGCTTTATTGTGGTTACAGTGTGGTCTACCAGCTTGATCAAGATGTCTGACCTTAACCCCACCAGCTGGACATCCAGCAAATGACCATAAATAACATTTTTTACAGTAGGGATCAGTCGAGAATGTCGGCTGATTTTGTGTTTTCTCTGCTCAGAGTGGCGTCAGGGTCGCATGGCTCGTATCATTCTCCAGGACGAAGACGTCACCACTAAGATCGACAGCGACTGGAAGCGTCTCAACTCACTGGCGCACTATCAGGTAACCGCAGTGGCCTCGCCGCATCCTCTGCCTGGTTACTATGGCAATACCTCTACACCCCGCTGCCCAGTAACCATGGCAACCCCTCAGCAAGTTACTAGGTAACAATTGAAGTATTTTAACACGTAGCGCACGAACAGGTAACCATAGCAACATTTTACAAAACATAACCACAAAAGCAGTGTTGGACAGTAGAGATGCATCGATACCGATATTCATTGATATCAATAATTTTATTATGGCTGAAAATAAGGCTGTGTTCACAAAAAACATGTTTTACTGACACTAAAGAAAGCTGTTATTTTACAAATACTTTTGTACATTGCATACACAAAATCACAGTTTTAAAATAGAATTTATTTAGAATTTGATTGATAGCTGATATGATGAACGGATATTATATATATTATTTTATTTATTAGTTATAAATATTTGCTAAAAAAAATCTAGAATTTTTAGTTTATCTTAAATGTACACGTTTACTTTGAAGTTTTCATTTTTGTTCACAAAATGTTAATTTTACAAAACAAAATTGTACGTTAATTTTTTTTTTTCAAATTTAGTTATACAATATAGAATTTATTTAGAATTTACAGTAATAATATGGTGATGATAATCAGATAACTGATTATCATTATTGTAATTCTGAGCCGACACAAAGCCATAGAATTTAGAATCTAGAATTTTACGTTTGTCTTTACAAATGTACAAGTTACTTTGAACCATTTTACATTTTCATGTTTACAAAATGTACATTTTGCAAGATAGATTTGTACTTATTCGTCTTAACAAAATTAGTTTTACTATATAGAATTAATGGCTGATAACTGATATGATGAATGAAATTATAAGTCAGCAAAGCTGTAGAATTTAGAATCTAGAATTTTAAATGTTAATACTAACATTGAAGAATTTTTTTTGTTTACATTTTTTTTTGTAATATAGGATGTTCTACAATATTAAACTTTAAATATCTTTACAAAATTAGTTTTACAATATAGAATTTTCATGTAAATCTGTTTTCAGATTGATGGCCGTAATTAAAAATGCTGATCTGGTCTGATTCTGATTGTCTCCTGTATTTGTGAAAGAAACAGAGTGTCAGTGTCAATCTGTCTCTCTCTCTGTCGTCTAGGTAACAGACGGGTCAGCGATCGCATTGGTTCCCAAGCAGAACTCCGCCTACAACATCTCCAACTCCTCAACATTCACCAAATCCCTCAGCAGATACGGTGAGAGAGAGAGAGCTCTGCTTCTCTAACGCTAGTGATGTTCAGAGGAATACGACTGTGCAGTATAAAATCAGAGCATGAAATACTGTATCCAAACGTGGCCTTCTATTGCCAGTGTATAGCTTTTATTTATTTTTTTAAATATAAGTTCAGTTAAGCACATATGTGCTTTGTCATTTTTATTAGATTTGTTTTTTAGAAATACTTTTCAGTTTTGGCTTTGTTTATTTTTAGTTTCAGTTTTAGTCATTTCAGTGCTTAATTATTTCAGTTAATTGCCAAGTCAACGTTCCATTGACAGTGTAACAAACTGGAATTAATCAGCATAAATGTTGACATCTGATAGTTTGAAAAATGAAAAAACGTTTTATTCCACACATTTAAAAAAAAAAAAAAACAGGGAGTATTAGGGATATGCCGGTATCAAATTTTCATGTAATGAAGCCCTAATGTAAAGTGTGACCGAACAATAAATAATCAAAACACTTTCAAACGATATCTAGGGCATGATGTAGTCCAGATTAAAATGTAAAAAAAATGTTTGAAAATAAATAGCCTATTAAGTCTAAATATTTAAGTATTTGGCTCTGTGATGAACATCATAGCAAATACACAAATCTGAATGGCTGTTTAAATCATTTAAACACAATTCAGAAACAGAAAGTAGTGCAGCTGCTTTGTTTACAGGGTTTACGGGGTAACGGCTGCATTTAAATGAATTATTATTATTATTATTATTTCTGCAGTTTAGCGCCATCTGCTGTCAGAGAGTGAAAGTGCGCTTTCATCCAGAGCGTCTCTCACGTTCCGCCATGTGCTTCTCGTCCGCGCTTGTTTACGTCAGAGTGCGCACGCGTCTTTCACGCAGCATACAGTGGTGTTGTGCATTTTGACCAGTTTATGGGAAAAGTATTCTTAAAATGCATTCAAAATTCTGAATAATTTGTTATATATAATTATTCACGGTATTTAGAAGTGCCCACGATAACAATATCGTGCATATCCATTACCGTGATATATCGCATTACCGAATACCGGCACAAGTCTAGGCAGTATACAAAATATTCTGTGCAGGATGCAGAAAGCATTACCATTGTAGTCTTTTTTTATTCCAAGCATAGCCTTTCTCTCTGTCTTTTTCTGTATATTTCTCTTTGGTGTGTTTTCTGCAGAAGTGTTGTTTGTGTTGTTGTTGTGTATCCTAATGCTCTGCTCCTCAGTGGGATGAACTCAGCGGTCGAGAACTTCAGACAGAATGGAAAGCATGGATATGAAATCCAAAATCTGTGTTTGACAGTGAGGGAGGAACTGAGAGAAAAGAAACAGTTATGATGCATGACTAGGTTTTTATCACTAGATAATATAATCCCTAAGTCACTCGACTCACTCCCCATAAATTTGACTATTTATAATTTTACAATTTTTATAATTTAGAATCTCTCTCAAGTCTTCCTCTCAGTTTTCTACAGTTTGTTTGCATATTTTTCCCCCAGATTTCTTACCTGCCAAACACCAGCCGACCAAGCCGTCCTCTTTGCAGGGTTCCCACGGGTCCTTGAAATCCTTGAAAGTTTGTGAATCTGAAAAAAAAAAAATTCAAGGCCCTGGAATGTTTTTGAAAATAAATGTACATAGATACATGTCCTTGAAAGTGAAGTTTTCTGGAAAAAATTCCTTATTATTCCCTCTGGTCCGCTAATGTGTTATTTCGCCAACACTTCGTGGCCTATGCATACTAGCTTGCTTGATTTACGTTAGTTACGTGCATTTTACGCGTTACGTTAAGTGTTTCCCACGTGAGATTCTTTGTGTTGTATATGGCAAGGCATGAGAGTCAGAATTAAATTTCTGACGTTAAATACGCCGTTTTTTTACCGTTTACGCACATTTTTTATGCCGTCTGCTATCAGGACGGCGTATTTGACTGCGCTAATGCTGTTTTAAACGCCGGAAAAAAATGCATTTTGTATGTAAATGCGATTTATCTATAGCGTAATTCTGACTCTTTTGGCTTGCCATAGTTGTACATTGCCATGACGTTCACACACAACTACTACAATGGTACCTTAACGTTTCACAGACACACCGTGAAATTAATGTTGAATTGCTTTGCTTGTTAAGATAATGTTAACCCATGAGGCAAGAAACACTTAAAAGCATATTCATATATCTTAAAACTTCTGGTTACATGAGCCTAAGGTCTTTTCAATAAAATCCATGCAAAAGTTAATATCAGATCATTTTAGAATACAGTATAGGATGTACCGAATATACTTCAGTTTCATGCAAAACAGAAATACGACAAATAGAATATCAGTTCTCTGTCATATGGCCAAAAATAAATGCTAAAATAAAATGCTTTTTTTGCATAGTTGTGTTTGACACATGAAAACTGTAACAATGTAATGGTGTAACCTTGATCTCACTTGAAATGTGTCCCCACATTAAGTCCTTGAATTTGAGGGTATTGGACCTGGAAAATCCTTGAAAGGTCCTTGAATTTTAAGTTAACCAAGGTGTGGGAACCCTGTCTTTGTGTCCACAGAGAGCATGCTGAGAACAGCCAGCAGTCCAGACAGCCTTCGCTCGCGGACGCCCATGATCACGCCAGACCTGGAGAGCGGCACCAAACTCTGGCACCTGGTGAAGAACCACGACCATCCGGACCAGAGGGAGGGCGACCGCGGCAGCAAGATGGTCTCTGAGATCTACCTGACGCGTCTGCTGGCTACCAAGGTAAGGAGAGGTGTATTACATACCTGCAGTTATCAAAGGCACCTTGAAAAACTTCATGCATTACATACTTAATTTGCAAAATACTTGCTAAAAAGGAAATTAAGCATGTTATAGATAATAGATAACATCGTTAAAAATCATGGTTTGATAATACGTCTCATTCTGTAAAATAGAAGGTTGAGTCAGGCGCATTGCATTGTGGGATACAGTGTCTTGTGCATGTGCTCTGTTGTATACAGCAGATGTAGTAGACTACCTAGAGTACCTACTGCGTACTACATCTAAATAGTATGTAGTATGCCATTGGGAATATGCTTGCATCATTTTAGTATCATTTACACACTAATGTAGTATTTATGTATAGTATATATTATCAAAATATTATAGTTGAATTTGTTTATTTTTCTATTTTCAGTTAAAATTATTTTTGTGTAAGTTTTAGTAATTTTATGGGGTTTTGTATATTTGAAATGCTGTTGCCTTTAAGTTTTTCTTATTTATCTTATTTTATTGGTTTATGCATTAAAGCTGAATTTCTGTTCAGCTTTAATGTATTTTTATTTTTTATTTTTAGTAATTTTAGTACACTAGCTTATTTCAGTTAGTTGCCAGTGCATGATTTCAAATTTTCTCTTTCTTTTCTAATTTTTTCCATCTAATATTTATTGTATTTTATTTTTAGCTTTATTTCAGTGACCAAAAACCAATTTTAATATTTTTAATTTTAGTTAACACTGTCACATATTTACTTGTAGTCAGAGAAAATCTGTGCAAATCCAAAAAAAAAAATATTTTTACTACATTGTCCTGATGTATTACTCAGGCAGGAGTGTTTAGTATGAGTACTACGGTGAAATCTGTCGCTAATTTTCTCCGTCTTGACAAACACACACTGGAACTAATTGCCTCACTTTTGAAGCACATGTCTGATTTTCTCAGCTGATCTCCTCAGACAGTTAGTGTTGACCTTTGTGTGTGAATGACTAGTTGCTCATTAACATTTACCAGTGCTCCCACTCTCATGGAGAACTGTATCTTAATTAGACCAGTGACCTTTGCTTATTGAGCGGTTTGGGAAAAACTATCTCTTTATCCATCCTGTGCTCCGTCTCCGTCTGATACTACACAGATATCTCAGCTCACACCTGATGCATTTCCCTGCAGCTCCATAGTGTTTATGTGAAGAACACGTGCATCTGATTCTGAACCCACAGCAGCTCCAATCACTGATTCTTCACTTAAGACAAATAAGCATGCCTCAATGTTACTGCATTCTGTAACAATGTCACTACAAGGGCATCCTACTGTTTTCATGCTTAGTATTTTTGTCTAGTTTTCCAGGACAAATATCTAAACATTCTAAATTCAAGACACAGGGAAAACCACATAAGATATTAGTTCTTGCTTTCTGAAAAATAAATTGAGTTTAGGCTTAAACCAAGAAAAATATCTGCCAGTGGGGTCAGAAAAATACACTTTTATTTTTCTAACCTCATTGGCAGTTATTGTTACTCTTTTTAAGCATAAAAAGAGCTTATTTTGATGCCTATTATTATTTTATTTATTTATTTTTCTTTAGAAAACATGATATTGTATGTCATTTTGCTTCTTAAGTAAACGTATCTTGATGTAAGATTTAGATATTGGTACTGGAAAACAAGACAAAAATACTAAGCAAGAAAATAATTGTTCGCAGTGTATATTTACAGTATATTCACAATGTTTTTGCATGCAATATAATATTAAGCTACATAGGACATTGCAATGATTTTGCCTTTTATATCTGACCAAGTTTCAAGTTTTGCATTAAGACGGATGTTTTAAATATAGCATCTCTGATTTATACCTCAGTAGCTAAAAGAGTTGAGCTGGTAAGTTTGATTCATTTACATAAATCAGTTCAGATTTTCTGTTTGCATGAATCAATTCTTCATTTAGAATCAACAATTTGTCGTCAATCAAAAATGTGGAGTTTTTCATCTATAATTATTCCTTTAAAGAAAATATACAGGTATGCTGTAAATATTTCTGTTCATCACTGGTCCAATGATGAAACATTATGCCTCAGTGTATTTCCTTGGTGAAAAACAGTGTAAAACATGCCTTGATTCACTGACTCGGCTCTCACAGGGGACACTGCAGAAGTTTGTAGACGACCTGTTTGAGTGCATGAATCAATTCTTCATTTAGAATCAACAATTTGTCGTCAATCAAAAATGTGGAGTTTTTCATCTATAATTATTCCTTTAAAGAAAATATACAGGTATGCTGTAAATATTTCTGTCCATCACTGGTCCAATCATTATGCCTCTGTTTATTTCCTTGGTGAAAAACAGTGTAAAACATACCTTGATTCACTGACTCGTCTCTCACAGGGGACACTGCAGAAGTTTGTAGACGACCTGTTTGAGACCATCTTCAGTACGGCCCACCGGGGCAGCGCGCTTCCTCTGGCCATCAAATACATGTTTGACTTCTTAGACGAGCAGGCCGACAGACACATGATATCAGACCCCGACGTCAGACACACGTGGAAGAGCAACTGGTGAGTTTGTGTCTCGAAATCGAGGAGTGCATTGAAGCATGCATGCTTCCTCTGTTGGTGTTTGAACGCCGTTCCTCTTTGTCTGCAGCTTGCCGTTGAGGTTCTGGGTGAACGTGATCAAGAACCCTCAGTTTGTGTTCGACATTCATAAGAACAGCATTACAGACGCGTGTCTGTCCGTCGTGGCTCAGACCTTCATGGACTCCTGCTCCACGTCAGAACACAAGCTGGGCAAAGACTCGCCCTCCAACAAGCTGCTCTATGCTAAAGACATCCCCAACTACAAGAACTGGGTGGAGAGGTACGACTCCACTTTCATTTCACAGGATGGCTCTTGCTCTTTCGAAATAAGAGTTTACACTCAAAAAACTACATGCTACCTGCTGCATCTACAGCGTTGGATGATATATCACATATTCATAATATATATATATTCACAATGCATTATGGATGATTTTGCACTTTTTATCCGAGCAAGTTTCCTAAAGAACAGATCATTAGACTAGTTTTGCATTAAAACTCATTTTTATAGCATTAGTTGAGTTGGTCAGTTTGATTCAGTTACATAATTAGTTCAAATTATCTGTTTGCATGAATCATTTGATCTTTTAGAATCAACTAAAAAATATTCACAGATGTCTCTAATTAGAAATATTTATTTTTATCACTATGTATTTTATATCAGGACAATGAGCAATTTTTTTTATGGCTTCTTTCATTTATTTAGTTAAAAATAGTGTAAAAATGTCTTGATTATTATAGCTACTTTTTATTATTAGCTATATTTTAGATCTTAAATTTAAATACTTTGCATGATAAATATGATTAAAATGTAGATATAGTTTTTTTACACTTCCGTTCAATAGACTGGGTTTGGTTCTCAACAAGTCTGCATTTATCTAATCAAAAACAAAATTAACATTAACATTTAAAACTAACATTAAAAATAGTAATATTGTGAAATATTATTACAATTTACAATAACTGTTTTCTATGTGAATATATGTTAAAATGTAATTTATTTCTGTGATGCGCAGCTGTATTTTCAGCATCATTACTCCAGTCTTCAATGTCACATGATCTTCAGAAATCATTCTAATATGCTGCTTTGCTGCTCAAGAAACATTTCTGATTATTATCAGTGTTGAAAACAGTTGTGCTGCACAATATTTTTGTGGAAACTGATACATTTTATTTTTCAGGATTCACAGATGAATAGAAAGTTCAGAAGAACAGCATTTATTTGAAACAGAAATCTTTTGTAACATTATAAATGCCTTCACTGTCACTTTTGAATTGAATTAAAGCAATGATTGATATGTTTGATCTGCAGATGGCTGTTAAACTGCTGATCGATGGCTGTGTGTGTGTGTGTGTCACCGATTAATAGAAAGTTCAAAAGAACAGCATTTATTTGAAATAGAAATCTTTTGCAACATTATAAATGTGTTTACTGGCACTTTTGAATTTAATTCAAACTAAAAAAAAATCATACTGACCCCAAACTTTTTAAATGGTTAATTCAGAAACAATTGTTTTTGGTGCTAGAGAACATTATAATTATACATATAGCAAATTAAGTGCTATATAGTGTAAGATATGAAATCTTCAGTGTGAAGGGTGTGTGAGTTAAAGCAGACGTCTGGATTGATATGTTTGATCTGCAGATGGCTGTTAAACTGCTGATCGATGGCTGTGTGTGTGTATTGTGCAGGTATTACTCTGATATCTCGCGGATGCCTGCGATCAGTGATCAGGACATGAGCGCGTATCTGGCCGAACAGTCGCGTCTGCATTTAAATCAGTTCAACAGTATGAGTGCGCTGCACGAAATCTTCTCCTACATCACCAAATACAAGGACGAGGTGAGAACCAAACGCAGCTCAGGCCTCAGAACGCTCTCCGTCTGCTGTGTCACTGAATTCACTGGGTTTTCTCGTTCTGTGTAGATCCTGTCGGCGCTGGAGAGGGATGAACAGTCGCGCCGCCAGAGACTGAGGGTTAAACTGGAGCAGGTGATCGACACGATGGCTCTGTCCAGCTGATCCGGACTGGAAACCTCCGTGTGTGTTTATACACCAGGACAAAGCCACAACGCTGAATGTAGGTGGTGTAGATTTTGCGTTGTTGGACAAAGACGCTCTTTCCTGTTTTGAAGAGACAATGAGGACGTTTGGGACCTCTGATGAAGTCATGTGACCGGATCAAAGGACACGTGTGCGTGTTTACTATGTTTTATTACTTTGTACAAATGTTCTCGACTCTCCGCTCTCTTTGCCACTTGTGTTTCTGCTGAATTTGCACAGTTTACAGAATCAACGAGCAACTGGCTCCATCTCATGAACACGACGTCTCGTTTCGGGTCAGGAAACGCAACGACGCGTCTGTTTTAACCTTTATGTACAGTAGTGTTGACGAAGGTGAATTTGACATTACACAAATGACAAAAAGAAGGAAAAAATAACAAAAAATATGAATAAAAATCTTGTCCTGTGCCATGTTTTATTTGAATGTTGTTTAATGCTAAAAATGTGCTTTGATAGGAATGTGCTTTGATTGTTTTACTATAGAAAAAAAAAAGATGAAATATTTCATCCAAAAATTGACTGAACTGTTTTTTTTTTTAAAGCAAAGCTTTAATTACTGATTCATCAGATGCTACTCTTGATTTTAGACACCGAATCAACTCGCTCAGATCATTTCAGCAGGTTCATTCTCTGAAGAAATCACTACGTTTAGTGAGACTGAGTGGAGATAAATGAGTGAAAAGGAGGCCGAGTGAATTGTTTCAGATGCATGAGTCAGTGTTTCTGCGGCGTGTCGATATGCTCGTTCATCAGGCCTTCAGCCTCCGTGATCAGAAAAGAGAGCTGGGCTTTTGTTTTTAATGAGATGGGCCTGATTGATTTCGACTGATCAATCGCTCTGCTTTCATTGAACACTTGACAAGGAGACGTCTCGTATGTTTTTGTTTTGATACATTTGTTTCCTCTTGAACCTGAGATTCGTCGTTTATAAACGAATGTTTTAGTGTGTCATAAAGTGGCATAAGCAGGTACGAACTTTAAAATGGACAGAGAGAAAAAGAACAACAGTATCAGTGATGAGATATTCTAGTTTCTCTATTTTTAATTTTTTTTTATCGACCTTCCATGTTCTCAATGAGTCTCTTCCGAAGTTTTTGGCCAGTTTCTTATATCAGATTTAACTTATAAAAGAGCCCATGAGATCAACATGTCTATTAGATCTGAGTGCATCATATACTGCTCTACTACTAAAAATGACCAAATTAAACTCGAGCTGGTTTGCTTTTAGCATTTAACAACTGCAGTCTTTCTCTTCCAGGAAACCTGACCAATAATATTGATGATCTTGCTATTTTTCTCCAATTAAATACAAGTAAAATGGCTAAATAAAAGCTATTAGCTGTTTAAGAGTACCATCCTAACCTCTCTTTTTAATTGGAAATAATATGTCAGCAAAGAAAAACTGAACTAATCAGGCTGTTTCGTGGGGTCCCTAATGCTTATTTTAACAAAATATCAAATTAAAGGTCTGTTCGTACTATGAATGATGATTATATTAGCGTCCTCGCCAAAGGACAATAATATTGCATATTCTAAATGTGCACTTCTGATATGTTTTGTGAATGACATTGCAGTGCGCACTTTAAAAAGGAAGATTTTGTTTGGCTGTCATTGTTTTTATTGTTCATGAGCTGAAAAAATAAATTGATCTGAAAGTGCCCTGCTGAAAAAACAATAGACACCATCACAAAAATTGTAATGGTTATAATGGGACTTGTATTGGTTTTAATGGAAACTGTAATGGACCCTGTTGGTCTCTACTGGGAATTGGTCACCTTCTATTGGTGGCTTGTTAAAACCAATAAATCCTAATGGAATATGTCCCAAAACACACTACAGAAAACCATTTTTTAATGGGTTTTAATGGTTAAAAGTTGATGGTTTGTAATGGTATTTGTAGTGGAAACCATTAGAATTTTCTGTGATGGCTCTATTGTTTTTTTTTTTTCAGCACAGTGATACATTTCCTTTTAATGTAGACTGCGAAACATTTTGGTTAAAGCTATCCTTCTTGGTGTGAACAAGCCTAAAACCCAGTTTGATGGTTGCATTGTAACTAAAGTAACCAGCTCTGCTCTGATAGTGATGTCAAAGGCGGGTAGTCAGGTCAGATCATCATCTGACGTCATTAATTTTTACCCAAAGACAAAAAGAAGAAAAATAGACTTTATATTAACACTGACGTTGAAACTTTGTCGGTTTGGCTGTTTCTCCTGCTCAACTGTTTTGTTTTGACAGATATTACAATCTGATCTACATAATCTTCATGCAATAACCTTGTGCTGTCAGTGGTGCACATCTACACTTTGCACAATCAATCCTGTATCAGTTAGTATAGACTGATGGAGGTCGTGTTGGTGTTTATGGTCAGTGTAACTGCAGCGGACGGCCCGTTGACCTTCTAATCAGTCTGGTTTGACGTCGCATGCTTTAAAATGAGATCCAAACATCTCAGGATCGTCCTTCCACTCTTGAGTTCGTCTCTCGACCAGAGAACTGCTGTGGTCAGGACATTTGTGATGTTCTGGACGTCTGGTTTGCGCTTCTTCCCAGGGACTTTCAATGTTTACACCCAACTTTCAAATCCCATGTATAAAAAAAAAATGTAAGATTTCACATTGTGTTTTAATTTATTTATATTTTGATCCTGTTGTTGTGTTTCTTAGATTGAAATGTGTCTAAACTGGTGCTGCTGGAGTTTTCTCTGCTCTCCTTTCATATGTTCCTGTAATGGCTTCTACAGTTTTCATGAATCTGCTCTTAAACTCAAGATCACTATGAAGGTCCAAGATGACAACGCAGTAATACTGCGGCACAGATACAGAAGCTCTGTGTCTAACCTCATCGCTCTTTTGCTTTGGTTCTTTCCAGTAATTTCTGAAAAATAATAATGAAGTATCTGTCCTTCAGACCAGAGAAAAGATGAAGAGATGAAGCAAGACAAGTTTGTGTTGTTGGTGAAACTGAAATAACAAAAGACATTTGAACAATTATGATTCAGGACTTAGACTGTCACTGGTGTCTATTCATGTGTAAATGTTTTTTTGTTTTTGCCCAGATTTACTACTTGTAAATAAACAAGCATCAAGGAGAAATTAAAATGTTTTTGCAAAAACCTCTGGTGATTTTCATTTTGTTTTAAAATATCTAAAATCACAGCAGAAATCCTGCACAACCTGGAACATTGACTCTCAGTGGTGTCATTGACTAAAATATTAACTTTTTAAGTACATTCTGGTACCGTTTGGTCATTTTACACCTATTTTTAATTTTTTTTATTTTGGTATGATATAACTTGGTTACTTTTGTGATTAGAAATGGTTAAATGACCTTAAGAAATAGTCACACTTTTACTTATATCGATCAAAAAATATGAAAATACAGAGCATTTATTATGGTATCTATATATTGTACAAATCAGCCACAAAACAAAGCACCCAGCAATGAAGGGAATACACTGTAAAACATCAAGTATATAAAATGGACACACACACACACTTACGATCTAGTGTGACCAATAATGCTAAAACAAACACTTCAAATCAACATTTTAAAAAAAATAATAATACAAATCTTGACAAAAGTAGCATTGGTTAATGTCTAAATATTCAAAGGCAAAACCTAATAAAGATTTTTGGTGAAATACTATTTTAGTTGTTCTACTACAAAATTTCGCGTTTAATGTAATGTTACTTCATTTCTTCGTAATAATTTGTGAATTTTTACAGCAATTTCCCATTTATAAAAGGTTTTCCCTAATATTTGTTATTTTAAGCACTGATGAAATTCCTTGAAAATACTAAATATCAATGCTAAATTTTTTTTATAGATAACAGCATAATCACATTGCTGAGTTCATATAATGACGCGTCATTTTAAATGGTCGATCATGATTGGCTGACGCTTCAAGAAGGTCCAGAGCCGTTGAGAAACACTACAAAACCGTTTGCCGATGTCAGTTCCAGGCAGGTCTAGGCATTGGCTCTTCTCTCGATTGCGTATTTGATCGTTGAAACCGTACATTTTGGGCTTTTGTCGGTGGCGATCTCTATTAACTGCCTTAGCGGAAAATCAGAGCTAAAATTGTGCGGCGTTTGGCGGCAAAACCTGCTAAATGTCTCCCAAACCTCGCTTCTCACATTTTGATCGTCAATCAAGTGAACAAGCCTCGATCGGCGCCCAATTTAACGACTCTAAATTTGGGTTTGTTAGACATTTTTAATTGGAATATAGCCCACAAGTCTGTTTTGACACTGTCATTTTTAAGGTTCATCAGCTCCAGGTAACATTATAAAAAGTGTCTGGATGTTCTTCAGTATAATATGTGTTGTTGGTGGTTAAAATCATAAAGGTTTGGAACAACATGACGGTAAGTAAATGCAATTTATTTTTAGATAAACTATTCTTTAAAGGCTACAAAGTTCTTAATATTGTGCCAGAAAGTTTTGAAATAAACACAGAGCTTCCTAATTAGCCGTATTATTTTTCCAGTGTTTTTACATGTATTAAAATTCAGCTAGCTTTTAGATGTGATTATTTCTGGCCTTGCGTGGGTGTATGTGTGAAAAGCACATTAGAACTGAGTTCTGTTAATTACAGAATTGCAGGTTTTGTGCCCGTCACTCCGTCACCTCCAGCTCCAGCGGGATGCAGGACACGTCCCGTCCGTCTCTGCTGCCCAGGTGAGGAGATCTCACAGGTGAGTGTGTGTCTGATGGAAACAGACCCAGGAGCTCCAGTCATGTGCCAGGCGTCTCTGTGGGGTTCAGTAGCACCTGTTCTCCCTCGCCTTGAGCCTGACGAGAGTGATTCAGCTCTGGAAGACTTCCCTCAGAGTCACTGTTCACTTTAGGGCCAGTGGAGTTTGGCATCAGTTACGTCAATGTGCCGTTTTTTTCTGTATTTACATACTTAATTCAAATGGCAATATATGATTGGTTTTCGTTTTGCATCCTAGCAGACTTCTAAATTGAGCTGCATGTGAGGTTCAGGTGGTGAAGCTGCTCTGAACTGGGCTCACAGAGATATAAATGTGGCAGCACTCTGATTTACATGCTCCACGCAGCCTGATCCCGCCTGGACAAAGAGAGCGCCACAGTCGGGCCGTATGTTCTTTGATTTTTCCAGTGTGTTAATCACGACCTCGTCAGTATCTGGCTTAAGAAGCAGCTTCTGGTGATGCAGGCAGAGACCCTCACGCTCACCGCCTCTGTTCAGAATAGAATACAAGCATACTACTCACTGTATAATACACTGTGTATACTGCTTACTATTTTTATTTACTGCTAAATAAAATATGCATCACAATTCAGCATGGATGCAACATTGCTTGTGAGTGGTGCAAAGTTATGAACTTGGAAATAATAATGGCAGTTAATCTTTAATTCAGTTTTGCATAAAAATGTCTTAAATTTTGGTATTCTGATAAAATCGTGGAAA